CGTTCCACCCGCGCGAAAGAAAACGAGTTTTACGCGGCTGGGCGGCACTGGTGGCTTTATTAAAAGAGAAACTGGTGATTTACAGCGGCGGCACCGCGCTGCGCCTGTATAAACACGCACCCACACTCTCCTCGCCCCCCCCTCCCCGTTCCCAATGGGATGCTCTGAGGTGCATCCACGGGTTTGGAAAATAAAACTCGGGACAGATCTAAACGTTTCACTGAAATAAATACCCTCAGCAGGGATTACACCCCCTTCTCCACCTGGAATCCAGCTGCAGCACTGGGGATAACTCCCCCAGGTCTGAGGGATAATTTTCCCCATTCTGCACATTTTTGGGGCCAAAACTGACCTTACAAGTACAAGAGAGAGCGGTCGGTGTCCCCGGTGTCCCCAGCACCAGGTGCCACCTGTGCTGCTGTTTTGGAACCTTCTGGTTTATAAAGTTTCCCTTGGTCCATTGACCAAATCTCCGGGGTGGAGCCTCCTCCTGCATGGGCTTCCCCAAAGGTCTCTATTTTGGACCAGTTATGGTCCTTTTTGGTGGTGAGATCGATTAGGAAACTTCTCCAGTGAGCATTCCGGTCGTGAATCTGGGGGGGAAAAAAAAAAAATCAAAAGAGAAGAGGACAGGAGAACAATTATACCTGATTTGTAACTAAAATAATTTCAAATATGTAAAACCCTATTCCCGGGGTCGTATAAACCATCATGTTACGAGGATTAAAGGTGAGGATTAAAGGACTGGGGACTCTGTAGTTAAATCCATAACAAGCACCTAAAATCCCGAGTCCTGCCTCAAATGTTTTAGGCTGGAAAAGACCTCTGGGATCACCCAGTCCAACCTTTGACCGACGACTAAATGCCATGTCCGGTCATTCCCTGAACACCTCCAGGGATGGTGGTTTTTTTCCTCTTTTCCTAAGGCTGGGAGACGCCTGGATTTTGCAGCCAGCAGTGGGAGCTGCTGTGCCGCCGTCGGAGGAAAATTCCACACGCTGAAAACTCAGAACCCTCCGCCCGGCCGGAGCTTATATCCCTCTCCCGAGGTGACCCTGAGGGCCGGGAAGATCCCGAGGGATGCCGTACCGCCACGTGTCTGCGCAGCGTGGACATGTCGGTGAAGGTCCTCTCGCAGGCCCGGCACTTGTAGGGTTTCTCTCCGGTGTGGATGCGCTGGTGCCGCCGCAGGGCGCCCTGCTGGGTGAAGGTCTTCCCGCACTGCTCGCAGAAATAGGGGCGGGTCTCTGGGAACACGGGAGACACGGCGTTAGGAGAGGGGGTTCTTTGGACCCCATCAAAAAAAAACCCCAAAAAACCCCAAGGATTTTAAAGTATGGATAAAGGAGGTGTGGCTGCCCCATCCCTGAAAGTGCTCCAGGCCAGGGTGGGCAGGGCTCGGAGCAAACGGGGATATGGAAGGTGTCCCACCTTTAAGGTCCCTTGCAGCCCAACCCAGTCTGGGATTTTATGCTTCCATGATAAATATTTCTCCACTGCCAAGAAGCCCTGAAATCAACTCTCTGATCCTGCAAGGAGAACTACAGCCATTCTTTACTCCTGGCACAAGCCAGGCCTCAGTTTCCCGGGAAAGCAGCACTGATATGACACAAGATTTTCCTGTGCTCTGTTTAACGAGCCAGGATCAGGATAAGCCCTGCTGCCAGCACCACAGAGGTGTTCAGGGAAGGCCTGGACGTGGCACTCAGTGCTCTGCTCTAGTGACAAGGTGGTGATCACTTTGACTCGATGATCCTGGAGGTCTTTTCCAGCCTCTGTGATCACCTAATTCAGGGAGCTGTGGAATGAAATTCCCCATCCAAAAACTGGGAAGCACCCCAGGAGCCACGGTTTTGTTTTCCTGGTGCCAGGAGGTGGTTCCATTACCTGCATGGACGTTGCTGTGCTGGGCCAGGGAGGCCCTGAGGCCGAAGGTTTTCCCACACACCTCACACTTGTAGGGCTTGGCGCCCATGTGGCAGCGCTTGTGGCACTTCAGGTACTCCTTGGTGGCAAAGTGCTTCCCGCACACGTCGCACTTGAACAGGCGCTCTCCTGAGGGAAGAGAGACGGGACACACGGGACTCTCGCACGGGGATTTTGTACTCTGAAGTTTGGTCTTCGAAGCACAGAATCACTGAGGCTGGAAAAGCCCTCCAGGGTCATCGAGTCCACCCACCCTGTGCCCCATCCCCACCTTGTCACCCAGCCCAGAGGATGGAGCGCCACGTCCAATCACTCCCTGGACATCTCCAGGGATGGGGACTCCATCCTGTTCCAATGGCTGATCACCCCTTCCATGAAGAAATTCCCTCTGTTGTCCAACCTGGCACAGCTTGAGGCCATTTCCTCTCCTCCTGTCCCTTGTTCCCTGGGAGCAGAGCCCGATTCCCCCCGGCTCCCCCCTCCTGTCAGGGAGTTGTGGAGAGCGAGCAGGTCCCCCCCAGGCCTCCTTTTCTCCAGGCTAAAAGAGCTTCTATCCCTACTAATTCCATCTTGGTACTTGGAATCTCTTCTGTGAGGTACAAGAAAAAAAAAGGGCATTTTCTTCACATCCCAACCAGCAATTCCAAGCAGTGAAAAGGGAAAACCACGGGAGAAACCACATGGAGTATTTAATGCCCACCTGTGTGTGTCCTTTTGTGGCCGGTGAGTTTTCCTTTGTCGGCAAAGGAAGCCCCGCAGTCCTCACAAATATACGGCTTCTCCCCCGTGTGGGACCTGAAGGAGGCAAAGCACAAAGGATTATTAATAAATCAGGTCCTGATCCTGTGGGCCTTCCCAGTCCCTCGTGTCCTGCAGACCTTACCTGGCATGATATCCCCATTTTTAGGACATGAGATTTGGTCTTTATACTGCGCTGACTTCCCTTTTTCCAACCCAAACAGGAATTCCAAGCCAAATCATTCCTAATTTCAAGTTGTCAAGCAAGAGGCTTGTAACTTATCTGCTCTGCTCTCTTTTCAGACAAAGATGGGAAATTTTCCATGGGATGATTCACCCCCTCCTGGGAGAGGACACAGCTGACACAGACACCACCAGAGAGCAACTCATCCCGTCAAACTCAGGGAGTGCAGCAGGAGCCCTCAGGAGCAGCACGGATTCTGTGCTGCATAAAGAAATCCCACACTAATTCCTTGCTCCAAGATTGTCTCTGAGGTCCCTGACTCACTCCTCAGCCTACGCTACTCGTCATCAGTGAATCCCGTTGGATTTCAGAGCCTGTCCCAAGTGACTGGGAGTTTGGACGGGGCATCCGTGTTGAAATCCCGACCATGGGCAACGCAACAACCACCCGGAGCCAAAGCCTTTGTGTAAAAGGATTAATCACAGAGCCTAAAATCCAAATGATATCCCGGTGTTCCTGCTCTAAGGAGAAGTCAGGAAGTCAGGAGAGGAAAAAGGTGCTGTGGGTGCAGGGAGGGGGAACGGGAGGCCGGAGGCTGACCTGGTGTGGATCTTCAGCTGGGACGGCTGCGCAAACCTGGCGTGACAGACGCCGCACTCGTAGGGCTTCTCCCCGGTGTGCGTCCGCATGTGGAACACCAGCGCCGTGCGGGAGCTGAGGATCTTCCCGCACACGGAGCAGAGCGGCCGCTTCACGCGGCCCTCGTGCTTCCGCACGGAGTGGGTGCGCACGTCCCGCTGCCGCTTGAAGGTGGCGTTGCAGAGGGGGCAGGAGAAGCGCCTCTCCTCCGTGTGGACGCACGCCCGGTGCTCCTTCCAGCTGGTGTAGCTGGCGAAGCCCTTGCTGCACACGTCGCACTGGTACGCCTTGCCGGGCAGGCACTGGTGCGCGTCCCGGCAGTGATCCACGTACTGCTTCCGGGACACAAACTGCTCGTGGCACTTCTCGCACCGGATCACGTAGGGGGGGTTCTTGTTGGCCCCGCTTTTGCTGACCTTCTGTAGTTTAGACTCTTCGTCTGATTCGTGTCCTTCGCCGTCCTTCTCGTTTGAGTCTCCGCCATCCTCCTCGGAGCACACCTCTTTGGCTGCACCTCCTTCGACTTCCGAGCATCCCGCCTCGTAATCTCCCTCCTCCTCCTCGCCCTTCACGCTCATCTCACCTTCATCTTCATTCCCTTCTTCGCTCCTTGCTTCAGCTTCCTTGTGTTTCCCACTCTGCTCCTCCTGCTCCTCGCTCCGGTCTGCTTCAGCAGTGGGTGAACCCCCGGGTTCTTCCTCGCTCCTCGTGGCCTCTGATGTCATATCCCAAGGCTCTCTGTCGGGATCTTTGTCACGGCTCGTGGCGTTTGGTCCAGGTGCAGGTGGAACCACCATCCAGTAGACAGGCAGGAGTTTCCTCTCTTGCCCAGACTCGTGGATTTTCCTGTTAAAATAAACAAACAACAGAGCACAACTTCGGTGTGTTTAAATGATAAACTCAATTAAAATTAATTGTTTAATTGCTTCAATTCAGACATGTTGGCCTTGGGGGAAGAGTCACTTCCTTTGAATTGCTCTTTGCACCATTTAAGAAATTCACAGTGTATTTGGAAAGCCCAAAAATAGGGGAATTTTGGGTAGAGTTGGACCAGGTAATTAAAGGCAATTAAAATGTCTCAGTTAATCTCATATTTGTCACCTTACTGGGAATGCAGGAGGGACTGTAAATTTTCCTCCAAGGCCGTGGTGGATGGGATAAGAAATTATGGACTTAAACCAAGGGAAATAAAGATTAAATGCCAACATGGAGACAAAAAATTCTTACTAAAAACCCAGATCTGAGGCTTCCTGGATCTGGTTGCACTAATCCCCTTCAATTCAACGGGAAATTCCCTGAATTCCCCGTCCAGGAGACCTCAAGTCAGTCATCTGCACCGCAAGCTCAGTGAAGCCAACTAAAAAAAATCTGTCCCGATTTCAACACACTCCGCATCAGGTCCAAGGAATTCTGGACCTAGAGCAGAGAGGGCTTTGGGAATGCCTTTATGCCTGTAGCTGGAGAGGAAGCACATTCCCGAGGGTGCTGTACCTGACGTGGGTGCTGTAGGCAGACCTGTGGGCGAAGCTGGCGGGGCAGCGCT